AGAAAGAAAGAAAGAAAGAAAGAAAGAAAGAAAGAAAGAAAGAAAGAAAGAAAGAAAGAAAGAAAGAAAGAAAGAAAGAAAGAAAGAAAGAAAGGAAAAGAATACAAGACTACATAGACATGCTCTGACTGGATGGGAGTGGTCCTTACCCAGCGAGGACATGAGTGCGAAGATCTCGGTCATCACAGTCTGGTACAGGAGCCTTTGCGAGTCATTAAGCAGTTTCCATTCCTCCCAGGAGAAGTACACAGCCACATCCTCAAAGGACACACAACCCTGCCACAAAGGGGAAAATGGAGTTTATGTGCAGTCTCCTTGTCAGGGGCTCTTTCCATCCTCAAGACAGTCATTCTCACTTAGCTTCCTACCTCAGAGGGTACCAGGCTCTGAAGCTAGGACATCCAGTCTGGCCTCAAGGGCCCACCCAGTACTCTGGTCAGCACTCAGCAAGAACGTGCAGGTGGACAGGGGGTGTCTTAGTCAACAAACAGGTGGACAGGGGGTGTCTTAGTCACTTTTCTATTACTGGGAAGAGACACCATGACCAAGGCAACTTATAGAACAAAGAATTCATTGGGGGCTCACAACTCAGAGAGTGAGTCCATGACCCCTATGGCAGCAGGCATCATGGCACTGGAGCAGCAGCTGAGAGCTTACATCCTGAACCATAGGACCAGAGAGAGTTAACTGGGAATGGCATGGGCTTTTGAAACTTACAAAGCCACCCCAGTGACACACCTCCTCCAGCAAGGCCACACCTCCTAGTCCTCCCCAGACTCTTCCACCAATGGGGAACAAGTTTCAAGTCTATGAGCCTATGGGGGGGGCATGGTCATTGAAACCACCACAGCTGGAGTCAATCCAAGCTTGAAGGATGCCATGGAAAGGCCCTCCTTTCTATCAGAGAATTCACATGGGCTCCTCCCAATCATCTGCCTCACACAGACTATATTTGGGTCACTGGTATCCACCTGCAGGAAGGCCAGGAAGCCATCCATACATACTCTCACAGCACACACATCAGTCTTCCCACTGAACTTCCATTTCCAACTCAGTATGCAAGCCCAGCCCTCAGCTACTGCCTTCCACTAAATCCAGCGGACCTCAGCACACCTGAGGGTTCCTCTGCATTCCCAACCATCTCAGTTCCAGGCATCCTCTAATGCTCACCACTGGAACCTTAAGACCTTGGAAACTTAAGCCAATGGTTGCCATAAATGGAAACCTGGCCATGTATTCTCTGCTGTGGACATGGGGACCTCACATTTTGAGCACCTGCCAGGAAATCCAACGGAAGGAGAGAATGCTAAGCAAAGAGTCCCAGAACATCACAATCACAGAGGTCTCTTATGTGAAAACTGAGGAGTGTGTTTCCTGAGCACCCTCCACTTACCTCTTCCAGGTTGGCCGGTTTCACTGAATAATGGGAAACCTGTAGAAAAACAAGGCTGTGAGTAACAAACGAGGTGTTGGTATCCCAAAGGTCCATCCAAGTCTCCTCACATACCTGTAGTCAGGTACACCCAACTGCCCCCATGGGCTCCAGCTCTTTTGTTTTTCGAGACAGGGTTTCTCTGTGTAGCTTTGCGCCTTTCCTGACACTCACTTGGTAGTCCAGGCTGGCCTCGAACTCACAGAGATCCGCCTACCTCTGCCTCCCAAGTGCTGGGATTAAAGGCGTGCGCCACCACTGCCCGGCGGGCTCCAGCTCTTAATAGTGTCTCTTACTGGGTGACCTCGGACAAGGAATCAATCTCCTCTATTTGTTCTCTGAGGATGAGAATGGCAGCCTAAGGCTGGAAAGATGGCTCAGAGGTTGAGAGCACTGGCTGATCTTCCAGAGGACCCAGGTTCAATTCTCAGCACCCACAAGGCAGCTCACAACTGTCTGTGACTCCAAGATCTGACACCCTCACACAGACATACACGAAGGCAAAGCACCAATGGACATAAAATAAAAATAAATAAGTAATTTTTATAAAAAAAAGAAGAAGAAGGAGAAGAAGAAGAAGAAGAAGAAAGGCAGTCTGTCTTATTTACTGTTCTATTGCTATGACAAGACACCATGACCCAGGCAACTCTTACAAAAGAAGTCATTTAACTGGGGCTTGCCTACAGTTTCACATTGTTAGTGCGTGACCATCACGGTGGGAAGCAGACAGCCATGACACTGGGAGCAGTCTCCGAGAACTTTAGATCCCCCAGGACTTTACATCCTGACCCACTTGCAGCAGGCAGAGACAGAGACACCCTGGTCCTGGTGTGGGCTTCTGAAACCTCAGAGTCTGCTCCCAGTCACACACTTCCTCCCACAGTACCACACTCCCCAATCCTTCAGTCTTTCTCAAACAGTTCCATTCCCTGGTGACCAGCATTCAAATATTTGAATCCTACTCTACAAAGAGAACCAACACAAAATCCTACTCTACAAAGAGAATCATAGTATCAAACCTGTATCAAGTACTTGGTACAGGCTCTTCCTGTGCACACGACTAAAGCCTTCTGTGAAGAGTTTCATAAACGCACGTTTTCAAAATGTATGGTTTTATCTACACACATTCAATTGAGACTTTGGTATTAGCCAGGTGTGATAGTGCAGACCTTTATGCAACACTTGGAAAGCAGAAACAGGCACACTTCTGTGTATTAGGAGGCCACCATGGGCCACAAAGGTCAGTTAGCGTCACATGATGAGTCTCAATGGGGCTGGGTGTGTGTGTGTGTGTGTGTGTGTGTGTGTGTGTGTGTGTGTGTGTGTGATAACTAACACAGACTTTACTCAAATACTGAATGTCTTCAACTAACTGTAAAGTGCTTTCAGTAATATTTTAGTCTTGCCTGTCACAAATACTCCCCAACGGGGCCAGTTTTTTTTTACTTTATCCAATTTTGCTTCACAACTACACTCAGCTCAGCAGCAAGTCCTGATGGCTGAGTTTTTAAGATTCGTTGGAAGGTCAGGAGAGATGGCTCCACTGTTTAGGGCACTATCTCCTTTCACAGGCTACCAGAGTTCAGTTGGCAGCCCTACCCCAAAGGAGAACACAGAAGAAGGCAGATCTCTGTGAACTCAAGTTCCAGCCAAGATAAAACTAAAACAGAAATTAAAAGGAAAAGAAAAAAAAAAGGAAAGCAAGTACATCTTTAAAAACTATGAAAGAGAGCCTGAGTAGGGGGCCACTCCTTTAATCCTATCACTCAGTAGTTAAAGGTATATATTTTGAGGGTTGCCTGGTATGTAGAGAGAGTTCTAAGACAGCCATGACTACATAGAGATAGATAGATAGATAGATAGATAGATAGATAGATAGATAGATAGATAGATAGATAGAT